GGCAGTGTTTCGTTCTGCTGTGCATGGGGTCGCTATGAGTCGGAAACGACTCGACGGCACTTAACAACAACACCGCTTTAGAGGAATAACCTTAGGGACTTATATTTACTTAATATTTTAATTCAACTTAACGAATATATCTCTCTATCTCACTGTCGTTGAGTCGGATCTGACTCATAGTGACCCCTCCTTGAGTTTCCGAGGGGGTATCACTAGGGAAGTAGATTGCCTAATCTTCCTTTTGAGGAGTGGCTAGTGGGTTTGGACAGCCAGCCTTCTGGTTAGCAGTCAAATGCCTTTAGGCACTACGCCACCAGAGCTCCCAATGAATATATATTGTGTCATTAATACTTGAGATAAGTGGATGCTACAACCTCGCTTGACAACTACTTGAAACATTTGACAATGGCCAAAGACTGAAGCCTTCACTGAACAAAAGGAAAACAAAATCCTCACAATTGCACTATAAAAAAACACCATGGCAAATGGAGAAAAAACTGAAGTTGTCAATGATTTCATTCTACTAGGATCAACACTCAATATCCACGGAAGCAACAGTCAAGAGATCGAACCACATAATGCACTGGGCAAATCTGCTACAAAAAAGCTTTATAAAGTTATAAAAAGCAAAGAAGTCCCTTCAATGATTGAGGTGCACTTGATCCAAGCCATGGCTTTTCAATTGCCTCATATGCCATGTGAAATCAGGAAATCAAAAAGGCCAAAGAAGAATCGATAAATTTGAATTGGGGTTGGTAAAGAATATTGAATATACCGTGGACTGCCAGAAGAACGTACCAATCTTAGAAGAAATACAACCAGAGTGCTCCTTAGAAGCGAAGATGAGGATACTTCTGCTTGCTCACTTTGGACAAGTTCACAGGAAAGATCAATCTCCAAAAAAGGACATAACGGTCAGTAAAGCAGAAGATCAGCAAAAACAAGGAAACCCTCAATAAGACAGGTTGACATTATGGCCATCACAACACACCAAAGATCATGGAGATGGCACACCCCAGCAACACTGCATTCTATTACACATTAAGTCACCATAAAGAACCAACTTGAGGGCAATTAACAAGGTATCAGACAATAACTATCCCACCTGCTGGGAAAAACTACTGACCCACTACAGACAGGTCCTGAGTTCTCTGCTAAATTGTCATGAGCTTGTGCACACACTAGTTCCTTTAGAATGCAAGGGACTAAGATAAGGCCCCATTGTCTTCCCCAGTTTAGTATTTCCAGATCTTAGCCAATGACCAGCACATAGTAGGGGCTTAAACATTTGTTGAATGAAGAGAAAGTAACAGTCCTTGAGCACTTAATATATGCAAGACATAGTTCTAAACAATGCATGTTCTAGCACCTCACTGAAATCCTAAAGATAATCAGAAGAGGTAGGTTTCAAGATATTTCCACGTAACAGATGAAGCAGCGAGGTACAAAGGTTCACTTGTCCAAGATTTAAAGAGCCTGAGCCCAAAGCCCAGGGTCACACTACACCCTACTTGAGAAACCTTTTCTTTAATTTTATATACACTGCTTCAGTGTGATTTCTGAAATGTCCTCTACATCAACAATTTGATAACCATGAACTGTAGGCTATTTGGGATTTTGGTTGCTTCAAAACACTTTTCAGAACGGAACAATGTAATATAGCCCAAGCAGTTATATTCTGCCTTATAGGGTCGCTATGAGTCAGAATTGACTCAATGGCAGTAGGTTTAATATAAACTAAAAAAATTCACTGCCTCTGGATTCGACTCATAGCAACCCCTCCTTGGGTTTTCCAGGCAGTATCACTACGGAAGTAGATTGCCCAACCTTCCTTCCGAAAAGTGGCTGGTGGGTTTGAACCTCCAGCCTTCTGGTTAGCAGTCAAATGCCTTAGGCACTACACCACCAGAGTTCCCCAGTTTAATATAGTCTAATCTAAAAAATTAAAATGTTCTTAAAAATATGTAGGTAAATACAAAAATACGAGCCACAGCAGTAGCAGCTGGTGGTTCAGAATCATGAAGCAAACTTGTCCTAAACACTTCCGGAAAAATGACACCTCTGGTAAACTAATACACTATGTCAAATGAAACAGATTGATCTAAAATTTTTTTAAAAAAATCTATATTAGAAACTGATCAAATGTATCTTTCCTCTCTGTAATCACTATAAACTGCAGGTAAGATCTTTTCAGTACATCCATTATATCACAATTCTTTAATCAAGCCAAACCAATATCTGTGCTGGGGACACACTGAACAACGTACTCATTATCTAAGACTAACATGTTCTTCTGGCATAAATTTCCAAGACCGTATTTCTAAATTTTTAAATATAAAATTTTGAAAACTAAAATTCATGATCTAGTACAGTCCAGTATATCCTGAAAATAACTTTGTAACTCTCTGAATTAACTTAAGGAATGTCACAAAACTCCAAAAATAAAATTTGTCGGAACTCAATTAAATCTGAAAAATTAACGTTCAGCAGCACCAAGCAGCAGAGAAGGGGAAATAAAAGTGGAGTCTGAGACCCAGTAGGAAAAGTTGACACTCTGTACTGTATCCCAGGAAAGCAAAGTCTGGCCCCCAGATAAGTGCCACGACTGGGGCTTACAAAATCAAGGTTTCCTGAATGACTCAAAAAGTAAATGAATTTCATAACTAAAATGCTTTAACTTCGGAGTACGTATCTGAAACTGGGGAAAAAGAAAGGGATCATACCCACTGTACAGATGAGGAAAACGCGTTCTCAGGTTACACAATCCGATGCCATGCGCACGGCGTCAGGCGAAACGCTCTAGAAGCTGGAGGTGGGTGTCGGTTCGGTTGGGGTTGGGATTTTGAAAAAATCTGCCTTAGCAAGTGCAGGGCCTGTAAAAGGAGGGCACGAAAGACTGGCCAATTTCTCTGTAGGGGGCAGTTTTGGGGACGGGATTCTCCAGGCCGGTGTCCCGCAGGCCTGCCTCCCCGCGCGTGAGCGCGACATTGCCAGGGCTGCACGACTGGGCCGCGCTCCCAGTCGCGCTTCCCTCACCCCAAAGGTCACCCTGACCCGGAAACAATACCCCAGAGTGGCAGTACTCGTGGGGTAGGGCCCGTGGATGGGACGAAAAGGAAGGCGGAAGGGCGGGAAGTGTGGGGCGAGGAAAAGGGATGGTAGGGTAAAGAGCAGATGACATCCCCAAAGCAGGGGTAGGGGTCGGGGTGGGGGTGAGGGTGGGGGTCGGGAAGTCCCTCGACGGCGCGCGCAGGCCGCACACACTCACCTGCCCCTCCCCCTCCCCGCCCGCCCGGCGGAGGCTCCGGGCTGCCGCGGGCCGCGCGCTCACTCAGGGAGCGTGCGCGCGCGCTGCCGCTCGCTTCCTCGAGCTCGAGCTCCGCCTGTTCAGTCCCAGCACCGCTCATTCAAAGCCGGGCGCGCGCTCTTTCGCAGGCGCCGTTGCCTCCGCGCAGCTGCCATAGCCACCTCCTCCCCGGGAAGCCCTCCCTCAGTCCCTCCCCTTCACCTCCTCCTTGAAGGCGGTTCTCGGTTGCTCCTAGCTCCCGCTTCCGCACTCCGCCCCAGGACCTATCTGGCCCAATAGACGCGAGGTTGCGGATTGCTTCGGAGCTGCGAACCAATGAACGCTGGGGGGCGGGGCGAGGGGTGGTAGACTCGGCTGTGTTCAAGGCTTGGCCTCTAGTAGATTTTGTAAAGGTTGCTCCTTTACAGTCTTTTCAGTTTTGGGATCTCTGGGCTCCTGCTGGGTTTTCCTATTTCTATGCAAAGTGCTGATTCCTTTCTGGCCTATTGTATTAAAAAGCTAGGGTCTTCTGCTGTTGTGTTTGAGAAATCCTCAATAATGAGTATGTGTTCCACTGTTACAAAGCAACTGATGAAAAGAGGGAGTATCGATAACGAGTTTATATGATAAAAAGTTGAAAGCATTCAAAGTAAATTGTTCCCAGACTAGACTTTTTCTTCTTACACTTCTTCCTTGACTACAACTTTGACAACAACAGAGAACCTATATTCTTCCACCCTGAACCAGCACCTATTTTACCCACCTAGCTTTCAAGTCGCTTGGGCAATCCTACTTCCGTGGTGATACTGCTTCGGAAACCCAAGGAGGCGTCGCTATGAGTCGGGGCCGACTCCACGGCAAACAACAACAACAACAACAAGCTTTCAAGTGGTCTCCTCATCTCTGCCTACCTTGCACTCAAATCTGCGCTTCATTCCTGTTAATAATTTTTACCTGCTATCCCCAAAAGGTTAAGAAACTAAGTTTTTATGACTCTTGCCCTGCAATCGTTCTGTGTAACCTTGGATTATTTAATCTCTCTAAACCTATCTCCTCCTCATAGTGCCTAGGGCATTTGACTGCTAACCAGAAGGCTGGTTGTTCAAACCTACCAGCTACTCCTCTGAAGGAAGAGGGGGCAATCTACTTCCGCAGTGATACCACCTCAGAAACCCAAGGAGGGAGTTGCATCCGACTGAAGGGGAGTGAGTTTATTCCATAGAATAGCTAATGTACTTAGCACAGAGTTACAAACATAGAAAACACTCAGACAATAGCTGTTTCTGCGGCCTGCTGCTAATGCTACCGCATTATCATCGCTGCCAGTAACTACACCTCCCAGAGTACACTAAACCCCTTACAGTTCCTTAAACACCCCCTCTAACATTAATCACTTTTAATGTGTAAATTCCAATAATCTGTTAAACAGTCTACATCCTGGCATAAACATGCTTTCCAAAATAACTTTTTGCCTTACAGACCTCTTTGCTTCCAATTATTTAGTATAGCCTTATATTTTCAAGGAGCTCCGGCCACATAGTGGTTAAAGCATCGGCTGCTAACCCAAAGGTCAGTGGTTTGAACCCATCAGATACTCCTTGGGAAAAAGATGAGGCAGTCTGCTTCAGTAGAGATTTACAGTCTCGGAAACCTTATGAGGCAGTTCTACTCTGTCCTAAAGGGTCACTAGGAGTCGCAGTTGACAATGGCAGTGGGTTTGGTTTGGGTGGGTATGATATTTTCATTATTCTTCAGGCTTCTTTAGTAAATTTGCCATTTCAAAACAATTAGTGAATGCTTGTTTCTCAACACATTAACAAACAACACAGCCTGCTCACTCACTCACTGCCCTCAAGTCGAACCCGACTCACGGTGACCCCTCCTTGGGTTTCCAAGGAGGTATCACTATGGAAGTAGATTGCTCAACCTTCTTCTGAGGAGAGGCTGGTGGGTTTGAGCCACCAGCCTTCTGGTTAGCAGTCAAATGCCTTAGGCACTATGGTACCAGAGCTCCTTCAAAGCCTGCCAAAGAGGGCAAATTTAATTTAAAAAATAAATACTTACAAAAGAATAGTATTAAATCAGTTTTCCACTAGCTTTCCAGTAGTTGTTGAGTGTTTTGACTGCTAACAAGAAGTCTGGCAGTTCAAACCCACCAGCCACTCCTCGGAAGGAAGGTTGGGCAATCTATTTCCCTAGTGATAGAAACCCAAGGAGGTGTCTCCATGAGTCAGATCCGACGAAAGGGCAGTGAGTTTATTCCATAGAATAGCTAATGTACTTAGCACAGAGTTAAGAACATAGAAAACATTCTTAAACAATAGCTGTTCCTGTGGCTGCTGCTCCTAATACTACTGCATATCATCACTCCCAGTAACAGTACCTCCCAGAGTCCACTAAACCCACTATAGTTCCTTGTTATTGTTGGGTGTTGTCGAGTTGGCTCCGACTCATAGTGACCCTGTGTACAACAGAACAAAACACTGCCCAGTCCTGCTCCAGTCTCACAATCCTTGCTATACCTGAGCCCATCGTTGCAGCCACTGTATCAATTCATCTTGTTGAGGGCTTTCCCCTTTTTCGCTGACCCTCCACTTTACCAAGCATGATATCTTTCTCCAGGGAACGGTCCCTTCTGTCAACAAGACCAAGGTAGGTAAAAGGAAGTCTAACCATTCAATACCAGAAAGATGTTTACTTGTGTTTTATTGACTATGCAAAGGCATTTGATTGTGTGGATCATGACAAATTATGGACAACATTGAGAAGAATGGGAATTCCCGAGCACTTGATTGTACTCATGAGGAATCTGTACCTTGACCAGGAGGCTGTCGTTCGAACAGAACAAGGGGACACTACATGGTTTAAAATCAAGAAGGGAGTGCGTCAGGGTTGTATTCTGTCTCCACACTTATTCAATCTATATGCTGAGCAAATAATCCGAGAAGCTGGACTATATGAAGAAAAACGTGGTATCAGGATTGGAGGAAGAATCATTAACAACCTGAGATATGCAGACGACACAACTTTGCTTGCTGAAAGTGAGGATGACTTAAGGCACCTACTGATGAAGGTTGAAGAATACAGTCTGCAGTATGGATTACATCTCAACATAAAGAAAACAAAAATCCTCACAACTGGACCAATGAGCAGCATCACAATAAATGGAGAGAAGATTGAGGTTGTCAAGGAATTCACGTTGCTTGGTTCTACAATCGATGCCAACAGAAGCAGCAGTCAGGACATTAGATGACGTGTAGCATTGGGAAAGTCAACTGCAAAGGAACTGTTTCAAGTGCTGAGGAGCAAGGATATCTCATTGAGGACTAAGGTGCGCCTGACACAAGCCATGATATTTCCAATCGTCTGGTATGCATGTGAGAGCTGGACAATGAATAAGGAAGACCGAAGAAGAGTTGATGCTTTTGAGTTGTGGTGCTGGCGGAGAATGCTGAAAGTACCGTGGACTGCTAAAAGAACTAACAGATCTGTCCTGGAGGAAGCACAGCCAGAATGCTCCTTGGAAGCAAGAATGGCCAGACTTCGTCTCACCTATTTTGGTCATGTTGTAAGAAGGGACCATTCCCTGGAGAAGGATGTCATGCTTGATAGGGTGGAGGGTCGACGAAAGAGGGGGAGGCCTTCAAGGAGATGGATTGATATGGTGGCTGTGATGATGGGCTCAAGTATAGCAGGGATTGTGGGGCTGGCGCGGGATCGGGCAGTGTTTCGTTCTGCTGTGCATGGGGTCGCTATGAGTCGGAAACGACTTGACGACACTTAACAACAACAACAACAACAACCATTCTTACTTCCAAGGAGCATTCTGGCTGCACTTCTTCCAGAACAGATTTCATAGTTCTTCTGGCAGTCCATAGTACTTTCGGTATTCTTCACCAACACCACAACTCAAAAGCATCAACTCTTCTTCAATCTTCTCTGAAAACATCATCACTTGGCTTAGGCGCACCTTGGTCATCTTTGCTCTTCAGCACTTTGAAGAGGTCTTTTGCAGCAGATTTGCCCAGTGCAATATGTCATGTGATGTCTTGACTGCTGCTTCCATTGGTGTTGATTATGGAACCAAATATTATGAAATCTTTGACAATTTCAATCTTCTTTCCATTTATTATGCTACTGCTTATTGGTCCAGTTGTGAGGATTTTCATTTTATGTTGAAGTGTAATCCATACTGCACACTACAGTCTTTAAACTTTCTCAATAACTGCTTCAAGTCCTCTTCAATTTCAGCAAATAAGGTTGTGTCATCTGCATATTGCAGGTTGTTCATGATTCTTCGTCCAATTCTGATGCTGTGTTCTTCTTCATATAGTCCAACTTCTCAGATTATTTGCTCAGTATACAGATTGAATAAGTATGGGGAAAGGATACAACCCCAACCCACTCCATTCCTGATTTTAAACCATGCAGCATTCCCTTCTTCTGTTCAAATGACAGGCTCCTGGTCTACGTACATGTTCATCATCAGTACAATTAAATGTTCTGGAATGCTCATTCTTCTCAATTTTATCCATAATTTGTTATGATCCACACAGTTGAAGGCCTTTGTATAGTCAATAAAACATAAGTAAACATCTTTCTGGTATTCTTCAACTTCCTTATCTTTGGCTTTGGTGGTTTGTGCATAAATTTGAATACTAATAGTATTAACCAGTTTTCCTTGTAGGTGCATGGATATTATCCTATCACTGACAGCTTTGTACTTCAGGATAGATCTTGAAACATTCTTTGCGACAATAAAATCTATACCATTCCTCTTCAATTTGTGATTTCCAGCATAGTACATCATATGATTGTCTGATTCAAAATGGCCAAAACATCTAATTCAGTACACTAATGCCTAGGACATCAATCTTTATGCATTCCATTTCATTTTTGACAACTTCCAATTTTCCTAGATTCATACTTCATACACGCCATGTTCCAATTATTAATGAATGTTTGCAGCTCTTTCTTCCCATTTTGAGTCATGCCACATCAGCAAATGGAAGTCCCAAAAGCTTTACTCCATCCATATCTTTAAGATCAGCTCTGCTCTAAAGAGGCAGCTCATCCCAGTCACATTTTGAGTGCCTTCCCATCTGAGGGGCTCATCTTCCAGCACTATATCAGACAAAGTTTCAAGGCTATTCATAAAGTTTTCCAGTACTATATCAGACAGCATTTCACTGTCATTCATAAGGTTTTCACTGGCCAATTCTTTGAGAAGTGGATGGCCCCTTCCTTCTTCTGAGTCTGTCTTAGTCTGGAAGCTCCACTGAGACCTGTCCACCATGGGTGTCCCTGCTGGTGTTTGAAATACCAGTGGCATAGCCTCCAGCCTCACAGCAATACTCAATCCACCACAGTACGACAAACTGACAGATGAGTGGTGCAGTTGTTGAGTAGTAACTCTATAGTTGGGGATCGTAGGTAGCAATAATTTGGGGTTTTGCAGAGGGGGTCATCTCTTAAAGAGCATGCAGTTTTAATCTCTGTGCTCTGCCCAATGTGTGTGTGGGATTGAGGAGGGGCACCACATATCAAGTGGGAGGGACATAATGGGTAAACCTGTATATGAGAATTTTCATTCTGGGTTGGCTCTATTCCAGGGGGATATAGTTCCTCCTGCCTACTCTGTGTCCAAATCATTTTGCCAACTTTAAGACTTCTGGTCTGCTTCCGCCTCATCTCCAGCTTGATTTAGTTACACAATCAGTTTCCAACCTGCCACACTACCCTACTGGTCTGTATAGGCTTTGCTGTTCTGAGTACTCTAGCTGAATCTGAATACAGTCTTGTCAACTGGCCCAACTGCCCTCGTCCCTCCCTGGAAGTAGAACAGATCTTGCAAATACAGCACAGTGCTTCCATATACCCAATCCAATTCCATGGCTTTTCACCAAAGAGTGGATTTTCCTTCAAGCACTATGTTAGACCTGCTGTTCTGACTTGCACTTTAATAGCTTTCTATTAATGAGCAGCTGTTCATGGTTGAATTCAGATCATAAAGTCACATTTGTTTCTTGATCAAGCAAAACAAAGTCTTGTGGCTCATAGTGTGACAGCTTTGAACAGATACATTAAAAAGTGAAGGATTATCTGATGATAATTTTAATGAATTGTTTTATTGATCTTATGACTCCAGAATTAGGTTAATAATTTTTGCCTCATGTATCTTTTCTTCAAATTAAATGGCTTGCTTTCAAAATAAGAAATTTTAATATTGTAGAAAATTATAAGTTTTTATAAATATCCTTAATCATCATTTAATAGTTAGAGTCAATAGCTTAAAAGAAAAACCACAAAGACTGAAGCAGCATCTATATTTCTTTTCTATTAAAAGAGAATTAACTTTCCATGAAACATTTAAATGAATATTTTCCATCGTAATAATTACTGAAACATTTTCAATTAGCAGTAATTTTTATTGCTAAATACAGAAAGACTAAAAATTTTAAAAATAATTTAGAGTTAATCAAGTCCCTTCAGAGGGGGTCTGGGTAGGAAATGGAGAAAAATAGTCCATGTCTTTTGCTAGAAATGGATTCCAATGACAAGACGCAGTGAACTCTTCAGTTCTGTGTCTACATTTTGGGATTGGTAGACTTGATCTGAGCTGATCTGGAAATCTAAGGACATTTATTATTTCTAAGGGCAAATGTGTGAGACTCATATAACCAACATAAAACAATAATTTATAACATGACCTATCTTGTATGTGAGTTGAAAACTGAAAAATAAAACAACATTGAGCTTGTTTTCAAAACAAGATGGACATAGTGGCTTTGACCTTGAGCAAGTTATAGGTACAGTTTTCTCATCTGCAAAATTAGGTTAATAATTTCTGCCTCATGGATTTATTCTTCAAATTAAATGGCATGATGTATGTGCAATTAGGTTGGAGGCAATAATCAAATCAATGAAAGTTTTCAGGTGTACAGGTTAATCAGCTGCAAGTCCAGTAGAATCTTCTTTTTTCTCACAACAGGGATTAGTGCTTCAACAGAGGTGAATTTTCTGTCATCAGCAACCAGAAATAGACACATCTATTAGGAACACATTAAAAAAGGGAAAAGGGGAGGACAAAACTAAGGTTTTAAGCTAAGGTATACATCCCCTCTTCTTTGGACCCTTTTGCTTGAGAGAAATAAGGTGAAAGAGCAGCTGTCTTTTTTCTACTACTCGTGGGATATTTTCTTCTAACAATATCTGTTGTCAAGTCTTACCTATTTTTTTCTTCTCAGTGTCTTTTGTATTTTGTTTTTTCATTCTTCTGTATCAGCTCTGTGCTTTGCTGTCTGTTTAATCTGAATATTCTCAAAGACACAGCTTTCTTCATGGTAATTATGGTGTTCAAAATAGAGACTACTTATTTCAAGGAGCCCTGGTGGTGCAATGATTAAACATTTGGCTGATAAATGAAAGATAGGAGGTTCAAGCCCACCAGTTACTCTACAGCGTGGGGAAAAGATGTGCCATCGCCTTGGAAACCCCATGGAGTAGTCCTACTCTGTGCTATAGGATCACTATGAGTCGGAACACATGTTGATGGCAACAGGTTTATTTTAATTTATTTATTTATTATATTATCCATTCCCTCTTGTTCAAATCCACTTAAGAGGATACATGTTTTGATGGTTGCTTTTTAAACTCTTAATTTTGAACTGCTGTTCTTGGACCCCCCTCTGACCACTTCTGCCCCTTTAAAGTATTAAAGATATCAGTACTTCTTGATAAAAGTGTTTCTTCATCTATATATACTGTACATTTCATACAATGAAAATTACCTGCTCACCATGGAATATTTTTCTTGCTGCAGTTCTTATTTGAAATTAGATCTTTTTTTTAACTGAGAATTAAATCCATATTTTAATCACTAGAAATGTTCAGTATAGAAAACTTAATATTTTCTTTCTCCCTAGAGAGAATTTATATGCATAAAGAATCATCTGCCTAAGTGGATAAATTACTCTAAAGAAAAACCAAAGGAAAATACTCTTATCATGTAGCCAGGAACACTCACAAATATCTTGTCCAAAAGGAATTTTTTTTTCTGCTTATTGCCATAGCAACCATAACTAGTTTGTCTATAACTGGGTGTGAATTTTACACACTATCATTTGAAATGTTAAGGGGGTTAGAATAAAGTGCAATTTCTATAATATTTGGAAGTATCTCATCCCAAAAATCTGATAGAGGAAAAGTTTCATTATGCTGCCTATTCATTTGTTTATTTAAGCCATTTATTCAGCACTTACCATGGCACTCGGCCCCGACTCATGGCGACCCCTCCTTGGGTTTCCGAGGCAGTATCACTACGGAAGTAGGATTGCCCAACCTTCCTTCCGAGGAGTGGCTGGTGGGCTTGAACCGCCAGCCGTCTGGTTAGCAGGCAAGTGTCTTAGCCACTATGCTACCAGAGCTCCCTACCATGGCACAGTGTGTGCTAAATGTGTTAGAGGAGCCAAAGGAAGACATATCCCTTAACCTAAAGGAACTTTTCTACAGTCACATGTCATGGTAAAATGTTGGGAGAACAGCATTGTTTTCATGAGGAATTTTCTAAATTTAGAATCATTTAATCATTATAATTAGACTACACCCCCCTCATTAGTAATACAGTTAAGTTCCAAAGACCAAATCATGATGTGAAAATCAGCATTATGTGAAAATGGAGGATGACTACATCATTACACAACTGCCAAATGACATCATTATGCAACTGCCAAACCACTGAGAATCATGATCCAGCCAAGCTGACGCATAACTTTAGCCATCACCTTGGCATTCATTACTGCCAGACTAATGTTAGTGTACAAAATAGTTGGATAATAGATTTTCACCACTGTCGTAAATGTGAAATGCTAGATAACAAGATGGTTGGTAAGTGAGGAGCAGGTGTGCTGTATCAAAACCCAGAATGAAACTTGTTGTCATCAAGTTGATTCCCACTCATAGCAAGTCTATGGGACAGAGTAGAACTGCCCCGTAGAGTTTCTAAAGCTGTAAATCTTTACAGAAGTAGACTGCCACATCTTTCTCCCATTGAACCAGGAACTCTCCTGTGGAACAGCTGGTAGGTTTGAATTACTGACCTTTCAGTTAGCAGTAAAGCCTTTAACCACTCCACCACCAGAACTTCTTGTACTGTATTAGGACCTACAATTAAGGTGGCAAGAAGTTTGTAGCTGGTCTGACTGCCCACAAATATTCAAGTGCCTACTGTAACCCATACAGCAGGCCTCGTCCTTTTTGGTCTTATGGTCTATGTCTGTAGTTACTCTCTGGGGAAGGGGAGTTGAAGGAATAAATCTTAATTTTTTTTCTTTTCCTGGAGAGTGGACATTTCTTGCCAGTTGATATCAGTTGACAGGAGGAAGCTGAAAATACCCACTTAGGAGTGTGGAAGATGGGTGTGATGCTCTGGTTTCCCAAATCAAATACACAATGAATTCTGATTGAGATTTATACATTTCTCCTTTGGAGAGTTCCCTTCTCTTGTTCCTATCAAAATTTGCTACCTCATGCACTCAATGAATCCAGGATGTGTAGTAGTTAAGATTACTGTTGCTACCAAACAACAATTAAGCAATAGGAAGTCCAGCAGCTGTCAGTGCACGGTTGGTGTGGTCCATCACAATGACAGGGACCCAGACCCCTTTCAGCTGAGTTCTCTGATGTCTTCCCCTCAGGAGGCAGATTTTGTTCTCCTTAAGGAGGCACAATTGCTCCATGCAGCAGGAGAGATAGACAGGGACCAAAAAAGGGGCAGTAAATGATAGCCATCTTTTAAGGAAAATTCCTAGAACCTGCCACAGGTTCTTATGTTTTTATAGTCCCCTGCCAGGAACTTAGTCAGACCTCATTGCAAGGAGTGTGAGAAACAGTCTTTGTTCTAAGTGGCCCTGTGCCTAACCAAAGATTCTATTAATACTTAATACTCACACACAGTGCTTATTACACAGTAGGCATTTTCTGGTGTAGGAAGAATCCTTAATTGTTTATTGGGCCATATATTGACATGATACAGGCAAAATTAAAATAATAAAAATTATATTTACTGAAAGGCTGTTAAGTATTGTGCTAAAACCAAAAGCCAGACCAGTTGCTGTAGAGCTGATTGCAACCCCATGTATTGCAGAGTAGAACTGTGGTCCAGGGGTCATGGCTGTGACCTTCCAAAAGCAGCTCTTCAAGGCTTTCTTCCAAGGCATCTCTGGTGTGCTCATACTGCCTTTCAGTAAGCAAAGAGCATGGCTAGCATAGGAATAAAGGTTATGTAAAGCTATATTGCTCATGATTTCCTAATAATGTTCTCCTCCTCTATTTTCTCCTCTGCTCCTTGCTTCTGCACCACCCCCATCTGGTTCACGGGACTCACTCATACATCCTTGCCCAATGAACTCTGAGGGTGTTGTTACTTCCTAAACTGCAGCTCTAGACTCAACTGCCACAGGTTGTTTCAGTTACCTGCTCTCTGATTAGATTCATCAGATGTGCTTCAGACACAAGTCATTGTGTCCCCAAAACCTCAGTGGACATCTATGAAGCTTTCCATGGGGGCTTATTAAAATCCTTTTCTTATGAGTTTGTATTAGAAGCTAGTATCATCATTTGTTCCCTGTTGTAAGTGGACTCCCCAGCAAAGCCATTTCAAAGGACTCCTCTTGAAAACTCCTCCACAAATCTTCCACTCTTTACGCTACCTATTTTAAGAAGTGTTAACATCTTTGTTTAAAACCTCCATTTGTACTTTGTTCTAGAGAAAACTTCTAGTATACAGTGACAAGGACATTCTCAGGACCTGCAGACAAAATATAAGTTCCTCTAATGGCATAGCGCCTCCTCCATCCTTGTCTGGCTTTTCCTCACGTCACACTTGGTGCTCTGGTAACGTCAAACTGCTTGATTTCCCTGCACTCCATGCTTCATTCATCCAATAAACTGTGAATAAGCATCTACTTGTGCCAGAAATTTTGTTAGATGATGGGAAAAAGTGAGAGTCAGGGACAGCCCCTACTCTCAAGGAATTTGGTATCTAGTGGTCTTTCAGCCTTTGCTTTTGCCACCATACTTTCTGCTTGGAACACCCTTCCTTGGTTAAACTCATGTTTTATTCTTCAATACTCATACCCTTCTGAAAACTGTCCTTCATCCATCCCCATCCTCACAAAATGCCTCTTTTCCCCTCTTGCCCCTCTATCGCCTACATCTGTCTTGCATAGCACACTGTGTTGAAATTATTTGTTTTCACTACTATTCCCCCAACTACACTGTAAACTCTTAAAAGATAGTCACAGCATCTTGTACCTTCAGGTCTTCTCATTTACTAAACTTAAGAATGCCTGGTACTTAAAACCAAACGCACTGCTGTTGAGTCAATCACGACTCCTAGTGATCCATTAGGAGCTCTAGTAGCATAGGGCCTAAGGCACTTGACTGCTAACCAGAAAGCTGCAGTTCAAACCCACCAGCCACTTCTTGGAAGGAAGGGTGGGCAATCTCCTTCTGTAGCAATACTACCTCGGAAACCCAAGGAGCGGTCACTAGGAGTCAAGTCTGACTCCGCGGCACATAACAACAACAACAGTGATCCCTTAGGACAGAGTAGAATTGCCCCATAGGGTTTTCAAGGGTGTAAATCTTTTTATTTCCCCCCTCCATAGACCTGTCTGTTGTTTGGATGGAAGCTAAGCCACAGTAGTCAGTTCAATTCCAGGCCTGAAGGATGACCAGAGGCCATGGTTTCAGGGGTTGCACTAATCTTTATCAGACCAGTAAGCCTGGTCTTTTATAATCTTGAGTTTTGTTCCACATTTTTCTCCCACTCTATCATGGATTTCCAATTTTGATCCCTTTCCAACTGGTTGGCAGTGGTAGCTAGGCACCATCTAGTTCTGGTTTCACAGTCTTGTTGGCTGAGATTCCCACGGTCTACTAGTCCCTTGGACTAATTGTTTCCATGTGTCTTTGATTTTCTTCACTCTTCTTTGCTCTAGATGAAGAGAGACTAATAGTTGCATCTTAGATGGCTGCTTGTAAGCTT